GAAATTAAGTAACTCGCCAAAAACTCCATACACGGCACACCGTACCACCTGACGGGCTAAGTATGCAGCACACAATCAAAGGCAAAGCAACATGCAACTAATTAGCATGGCTTGTTGAACTTTTTCAAAAACCAATTAAATCTGTGGAACGAACACAGATAAACAGCCACACCCACACACTCACATACAAGCATATACACAACAACTTGGTAATGAAATACATGTGTGTTTGGCCTTTGAGCACAAAGTTCGCTCCTAACAAGCAACAAAAACCACCAAACGCGTCAAAAAATATTTTTTTATACAATTTTTTATAAAAACAAATATGCAAATATATATTTATGTGTATGGTATATATATACCATTAATGTTTGTGCTCTGTGTGGATGCAACAGCCAACTTCAAACTTTGTCGCATAAAGCACATAAAAATTATATTAGAACAAATAACATTATTAACGTGAAATTAAACTTTGTTAGCTGGTTTACGAGCGACGCCATAAAAAAAATAAATATATAAATAGAAGAGGCAAAAATTAACAGCAGTTGAAGGCATATTTGTATGTGCTGGCAATTAGCGACTGCGGCGCGGGCTGCCCAATTAATAAGCTGCAAAAAAAGTATCGGGTATTTTTGGACATACCCAGACAAAGTAGCTAAGTAGTTTGGCCAAATGTTAAAATATTTCATTTAAAATACATATTAACTAATTGAAAAAAGAGAAGCTTAATTTAACTTTTGCTTAAAAGCCATACTTGATCCAAGGGCTGATTAACTGAGAATAGACACATATTGCCTTAATATTATAAACTAAAAAAATATATAATATATACCAAGACTTAATAATTTTATAGGAAATATTTATATAGACAACGCGCATTATTTTTCTATTGTAGAAAACATTTTTGAGTCTTGTAAACAAGGCTCCCTGAGTAATTAGTCCAATCAAAATAAAAGAGCAGAGCATATATTGAAAATCAAAAACATTATGAGCTACTCTCGTGAATACCCTTATAGAAAACACGGAGCATATTATAGAGTGCTATGTTTGCGGGGCATCCTTAACTATGCAACTTTCCGATGATGCAACTTTTTCTTTTTCCAGCTATTTGTCAAGTGGGCAAAAGTTGCATCGTATGCGTAACACGTACTATATGAAATGCTGAGCTGTGTAGCAGAGTGCAGAATGCGCAAGTATTGGTTGGAGGGGGAGAGGCTTAGTGTCAGCTTTAAAGTGCAACCTTGTTGAATGGAGTACAAGTGCATCTAAATTAAAGTTACACATTTTTCAAATTGTCTACACACAGCGCGTGTTGGTGTATGTGTGTTTGTTTGTGTCTAAATGTGTTTACTTTGGCAATTTCCTGTTATTTGTTTAAAGTTTTTGGGCAAACAGCGCTCAGCTCTGTTAGCTGTTAGCTGTTAGCTGTTCGCTGTTGACGTTAAGTTCTGTGCCTCAAAGTTTTCAGAAGTAATCTTTTAATTAAGTGCATGAGACAGCGCATGAGTAGGTCGGTACGTCTGAAGCGGCCAAAAAATGACGAGGTATATGCGCAGGAAAAGCGTTTAAGCAAGTTCCTCGTTAAACGGCCACAGCAACAGTGGCAACAAAAAAAAAATAAGTAATTTGATTAATGGGCAAATGTTGTGCTTAATTAGCAACGCAAGAACAGGAGCAATACAAACAAACGGAACTAACTGCCCCGAAAGAATAAAACACATTAAATAAATAAAAAATAAATAAAAAAAAAACATGAAAAAGTAAAAAATATATGAGCTAATTGCGCGCCAAACGGGCAAATGAAAATTGCCAATGAAATGGAAACAGACAAAGAGCAGCAGCAAAAGACGCTTGTTGAGGCTGGAGGAGCAGCAGCAGGAAACAAAGCAACAATATGGCAGCGGAAATGCAAAGGCAAAGAAGCGAATCCTGCAAATATTTTACAACTAATAAAAACATTGCAGCAGTCAAGTAAATCAAGTGCAAAACTACAAGAGCAGTAACAAGAGCGGGAGGAAGCATGAGTAAAAAGGTAAAGGCATAAATACAACTACATTTTTTAACAGTGTGAAAAACGAGACGGAGAGAAAGAAAGAGAGAGAGAGAGAGAGAAAGAAAGGCATAAATAAGAGAAACGTGGAGAGAAAGAGGGAGAGTGAGAGGGCTAGTAAAAGGACCACCGAAAACTGTGAGGAAAACTCTCAAACAAAACAGCTAACAAAATTGCAACTGACATTAAAGTTGTGCTCAGTACTTTTATAAGAATTACAATAAACGAGGTATCTATAGAAATTATACCATTAAGCAAATGAAAATTAAGAAAAAGCAGTTAAGTCCTGAATTAATGAAATAATGTATATGGTTCCATTTACGATTCGAAGCAATGTCGCCCTCTTAAGTTCGCTCCAAAACCCAAGACTTCAGATATTTCAGCCTAGGTTTGTTTTCTAAACATAGCCTGTATATTTTTTCAATGAAGCTTAAAATTGTTTTAATAATAGATTGATTAATTTTAGCTTATACATAATTATTTTCATAGCTGTTGCAGATCTCTGTAAGTGAAGCTCAAGTATCTAATCCGAGGCTGGAAGGCAATATAATAAAAAATATAGAAATAATTTTAACAATAATAACAATAATATAATAATAATAATAATAGATAATAATAATTATAATAATAATATTAAAAATAATTATAATAGATGCATAAGGAATAAAAGTAATATTATTAATAATAATAATAGCACATTTTTTAAAGAGTTTCGTGCTGAAATTCATGTGGATTAAAGCCATTTTAAAATCTTGTTATATAGCAATATTTGTAAACATACTGTGTCTTCGTATAAGATAAAGGCATCTCAAGCTGTATCACAAAATATTTTGAAGGCTTTGCAAATAATCAGAAAAGTGCGACCAGTAATGTTTTACAAAAAATTCACTATTTTAACATACAACAACGCGAAATTGGTTAAGATAGCTTGCAAGTCGTGAATACCCTAAGTACTTATTTTAGCAATGCTTCTATATATATAAATATATGAACTTATAATTGATTAATTAAGTCCGAAGATTAATTATATTTGCATCTAATTAGTTTTTGATTGTTTCAATAAATTGTTGTATAGATTGTTGTTTTAATAGTTCAATGGTTTTCCATATAAATATAAGTATGTTAGCTGACATAGATTTAAGCACTCGTAAATGGCTGTTTAATGAGTGTCAAAGCACTTGCCTTGTCAAATATTGAAATCGAATGAAGCCTAAGCCAACTGCATTTAGCTAGTCAAATATTTGCATTGTCAATTTTTGCAACTGTCAACAAACATAAACGAAAATGTGTTTTGTGGCTACGTGACAATGTAGTGAAAAGTTGAACTACGTTTGAAACAACCAGAAGAAGACGAAGATATTCTATAGCAAACAAACACAATTAAGTTTTATTATAAACGTTTCAATTAGCCAGGATGACAAAAGAAGCAGAAGGGCTAACAGCACCAGCAGCAGAAAGCAGCTAAAGGAAATTTCAATTTGGTCAAAGTTCAAGCATTGGCAAGACTACAGCAGCTGCGACTAATTGAAGAGAGCCAAATGCCTGCCCTAACCCAACCCAACCCAACCCAACCCAACCCAACCCAACCTTTTCCCGGATAAACGACACTTTTGTTCAAATTTATTTGATCTGTAGAGTAACCCTTTGCTGAGCGACAGACGCACCTATCTACAGTCCTTGACACTAGTATTGGCCCAGTGTAAATATGTCTCAGGCCAACATTTTGCCTGCTCTCTGACAGATACTTGTATAACCGAAAGACGTTTGTGGTCAACTTTTCTGGCTGTGGGTAATTGAGTTAATTGCTAAATGATTGAGGCTAAGCTGCCAGGCGATAACGATTACGATGACGATTACCATAACTGACTTTAAGTGGGCCTACACAAATTTATTTTCGGACATAATTTAATTTATCGTATAAAGAAGCCTAATTAAATTATAAGATGCCGTTTTCGAATTTTGATACAGACAAAAAGCTTTTAAAATAATTTTCACAGCTTTGTATGTTTGTCAGAGTGGATCGTATAGAACTGTCATGGGATATATCAGTCCTGCGACATTCATAATGCGCCAAATATTTGAGTGATATCTTATGAAGGAGCGAATGATATATAAATACATTTATTAACACTGAACCTTGGAAGAATAGCTCATAATTAATCACTAATATAAATGACTTTTTTGTCTGTCCAAAGATCTCAACTTAATTAACCCCATACCAGCTTTATTATGTTCTTATCCATTATTCAGAATAAAACACTTGTCCACTTGTTATTATTGCCTCTATGTATACATTTATGTATGAAAATGGGCGAAGCTTTTCCACTAATATAGTTAGATCATAGCCCATGCTAAAAGTGACTTTAATTTTGCCCACTTTTCTGTCTTTCCCAACAAGTTAAAGCTTGAGTACCAAATGGTTTGCAAGCCTTTTACTTTTTAATATTTATAAAATTGGATGTTAGTGACCATAAAAAGTCTATAATTATAGTTGTACTTGAACAGAGAGCAGCTTATAAATAATTCCGTATATAATTACACACAGCTATGTCCCTGACTCCATTAGAGTGCCAATCAATTATCTTTGAAGGTTATCTGCTAGTTAAAACCTGAGATTTAATGCCAAATTGTATATTATATTTTAATAATTCAACGGTGACGAGTCCATTGCTCAATTAGTTTGTCAATCAGTGCTCTAAATTATATTTTCTTGTAAGCTGTCAACAAATCGATGAGCGATACGTGCACTAAAATAATGTCAACATAGCGAAAGGCTCTTAAGGACTCACACCTGCACACACATCCTTCGCTGTCAGCTGTCGCATTAATAAAGCACTTGATGACACCGAATTGTAATTAATACAGCTATCGGATGATTTAAAATTATTTGTGTTGTGAGTCAATTTTCGATCAGCCCAATGCCAATAGGTGGAAAGGAAAATTTAATTACCTGTATTTTCATCAAAGCGACATCAATGGTTATTGCATGTTTTGTGAGCTGACCTAAAAATGGAAGAGTTCAAAACATATTTGTATTAATCACAATGATAATGCAATACTTTGCAGGCAGTATTAAAGAAAATATATCAAAGTTGTTAAACGTCGAGAGAAACGGAATGAGAAAGAGTATTGAGCTTAATATAAATTAAAACTTTTTATATTCTTAAAACATGCTTAATGAAAGTTCAAATAGAATTCCGTGTTTAGGTACTGTGAAAAGAATTATAAAATATAACAGTTTTGAAACTTGAATTTAAATTAGGACGTCTTTACCTTAATTAAATTAAGAAATAAATAGTATTTGCAAACTTTGTATAATAGTAAATCGTTTTGTATTATTAATAAAGACCGAATTGCTTAAATCCATTTTTGTATTAAAAGAAGTTAGTTACACGAAACAAGTATCTAAAATCAGAATTTCCTTCTCTGTAATTTTAGCCGGATTTTTCAATAAATTTTTACTTGTTTACGCAACAAATTCTTCCGTTATTTTCTTAAAGTGCATGAAATAAATACACGAGTATTTTTTTTAACCATATGATGGCCGAAAGAATTTACAATTCAATTGTGGCCTTAACCATATGCGGTGTCAAACCGCCGCTGACCAACAGTAGGCGTTCGAAAATTATGCGCTGGTTAACGGCTGGGTGGGCGTGGTAGCAACATTGAACCGCATCCGCAATCACTAAAAATTAATTTCAATTTTATTGCATAAACGGGTTGGGCAACACCCAGCAACAGAACACTTCCAAAATGAAGCACGGGCCATGCACTGCAAACGGCTGTGGCAGGTGGAAAGCGCCAAGCGGCATGGTGTAGTCCACAGACGGCTGTGTATGAAATAAAACTCAAGGCATGGGTCGAGTGCAACAGAGGCTAAATTATGCAGTTGGTTATGCTCAGACAAAATGGGAGCGTAGGGCTTGCGGGTTTGCGGTGTGTGGGAGTCGATTTCAGTGGGTAAAGCCGAAAAATTTATGAAAATGCAAAAGCGTTTTTCAGGTTTACCCCAGGTAAGCTGATGCAACCCGCAGCTGCTGTTGCAACCAGCCACCACCAATTTTAATATGAATAGCAGCAAGCGGCAAAAAGCAAAACTGGCAGCAAGCAACCAAACAGAAAAAAAAGACGAACATGAATTGTGGTTTAAACATTGAATTATGAATATTTGCCCCCAGCCTTGCGGATGGGCCAGACGTGGGTGCCAGAACATTTATCATCGTGGCGCTGAGATTTTGATTAAAAGCATAAAATATTATGGTATAATCACGCGCAGCTAAATAGGTAAATAAAGTATGAATTAAACCGGGGAATAATGTGTGGTAGAGAGACTAGACTCTCCAATTTAAGAAATATTAGTAAGCTATCATTGACTGAATGTATCTTCTATATGTTTTGTACATATAACGAGATTTTTGTCAGGATTGTGATATGGGTTGGAAAAGTAGACAAATTCCAAAAATCAGGAAATTACTACAGAAAATAGTAGTTAAATATTTATATATATATTTGTATATATCGTCTAATAGTGAGCCAAAATCTACATACCAAATTCCCCCGTAAGCCGCATTTGCGCATGCAACATACTCTAGAACTTTATTTACTATAGAACTTAATATTACATGGTATGCAAATATACAGTTTAATAGACAAATATGGAACGAATCAAACAGAATTGATTGTGTTGCCGGAACAGTGTGCCTGAACTAGTAGATATCCTCTAAAAAGAACAAATTTAAAAAAATATCACTAAACAGCTTTTACTGCTCTTCGGAAAAGTGTGATCAAGAGAAAGATATTTCACAAAGCATACAAAAAAGGACTTGTTATATACTTTTAAGCTTTCAGTCTTCAAAACTGGTATGGAAGACTAAAGGTGTCCTCGATATAAGATTCATTCCCCTATTATGTAAAGTTAAATAAGAAATCCAACAGTCAAAAAAAAATTGCAATAAAATTGAATGAATAAAACGTTCCCTAGACGTGACTACTAACAATCTGAATATAACAAAAATTTTTAAACAGCTACCCTATTCACACATTTACAGGGCATACAAAAGCGGAATTTCCCACCCTTCCTCGAATGCTTTACAATATAAGCCACAATATTTGCAAAATGCCAAAAATCAAATGAAAATTCTGTCGGCCGACGGCATTTTATGCTGAATGCAAATTATTAAATTTATAAATGGCATTTCCATAGACAAAAAGCCGTAGACTAGAGCAATTATCGACATAAAAGAAAGTTAATTTCAATAGGCTTCAAAATACACTGAAATGTCTCTGACAATGCCGTAGAACTCCACTCAGCAGCAATGCAGGTGAGTGCTCTCCTAATTGGAGCAGATTTCTTGCACGCAAACATTTTCATTTTGGTGCAATTCATTCACCCACAAAAACACCATAGTTTGTAGCTGGCCCAGATCTGGGCTAACAAAGACCGGATTATAGCAATTAGCTTGGCCAACTGATTGGATAAACTGTGGCAGAGGCAAACCTTGGTATAATATGATTGCATGGGCTGATGGTTACGGTTAATTACCAACGGTTTTACTTAGTACGTGTACTAGCTTCCTTAATATAGATAAGCTTTTTGTACCTAATCCAAATATATTTATTACATTTTCGTACTAAAGAACGCGTTAATTTTAAAACTGTTATTAATTAAATAGATCGAAAAAGAATATTTTTTTCAATATGTTACTTTCATATATAAAGCAAAAAATAAATGAAAGTTCCATCTCGTAAAGCCAGATAGCATTAAAATCGACTTAAGCTTGATTATTTTAAGAATGTTTAAACTAGAGAAAGAAAATCGAAACAATAATAAATATATTATGTGTAAGCATATTTTCCAATTACAATAATATTTTAATAATACCTTTGTAATATCCAAAAACTCGTTAACATTAAATATTGTGAACATTATTGGTGTCCATTCTAAAATGAAAATATGTTAATTTATAGATTTTTTTGTAATAAATTCCCTTTGCTGACAAAACTCATTTAAGTCACAAATTAGAACCCGGTCATTAATTCTGTTTATGGCAACGCAATAGCTGAAAATGCCACAACTTTTTTTTTGTTTTTTTGGTTTTTGTTTTGTTGCCTTTGTTTTGGCTTAAATTTTGGTGTGTTTTGTCATTTAATTAAGGAAGCAGACTGGATAATAATTTTAGCAATTTATGCGCGACACTAATTTGCATAATGCAACACAACAAATCAGAGAGAACAAAATGTTTATTAATGTTTACTCTAATGAAAATCTATAACAAAATATCACACACACAGAGCAAAAACAAAATGCTTCACTGGACTGAAATTGCGGTCATAAATTATGTGCAACAACTCAATCAAAATTCAAAATACATATGCAAATGGCGCTGTCTGGCCTAGAGCGAGGCAGCAAATGTAAAAGAGAGAGGGAAAGAGATAGAGAGTGACCGGAGGCATCAACAGCAAAACAGCAAAACAAATGAATTAGCCATATCTATGCTCATGAGTGAGTGAACTACGGTGTGATAACGGATTATTATACTATAAAAATCATTAATATTGCCACTCTAATGCCGCAAATATGTAAATTCCAGTCGTAGTCATGTTTATGACAATACACTGGGTAAAAAAAGTTTAAGAATTTGCCACATAAATCAGTTACAAATGTTGCCAACATTCGCACAAGCTGAAAGTTCCTTCGCCTTATCATCAAATTCTTATGCCAAGTACTTTTATTTACGAAATTTGCTTAGCTAAGTATTTTTTGTTACATTTACTGACGAGATTTGATTATCTAAGCAAACTCTTTACTAATTCTAAGCATTTTTTACTTTTATTTAAAGTATTCGCATTCTTTTTTCCAAGACTCACACATAGTACTTCTCATATATGTGGAGCTTTCTTGAAAGCATAAAACTGGTTTGACTGATAATTTGTTTAACATATATTAATTATTTTCTATTTTTACTAAAACACAGTCTTTTTCCAATAAGCATTCGTATAGTACTTATCTACAATATATTCTGCCGAAATAAAAATCATACACGTTTTATCTTGAATTGCGGGAATAGCAAATTGTATTCAAGTATAAAACATTTTTCGTAAGCATTTTGTTCTTCATTCAAGCATGTTTTTCTGTAAAACTTAACAGAAATCAAGTTTGATCACAAACGTTATTTATATAATTTATATTTTAAAAAGTGCGTAAACTTGGTCTCAAAACACAATTTAAGACGGCATTTTTTTTTTTTCTCTGAGTGTAGGCATATAGGCACACTCATCATGCACATACTCACACACATGCTCATGCGTTTGTACGGGTATTAGGCTGAGTGTGTGTCACGCAAACCGCGTATAAAGCGCGAAATTGCGGCATTATACCCAGCTGGCAGCTGGCAACTGGCAAGTTAAGTTTCGAAGGAGTCCTATGACAACGCCTACGATTTGGATGGTTGGAGAGAGGAGTGCGGCACATTACGGAACACTTTTGCGCGCAACACATTCGCGGGACAACCGACATGTCTGGCTGGCAGGCAGTCAGGCAACAAATTCTATTAGTTTGTCAAGCCTTCACACAGACATTTTCGTAAATTTGATATGCGCAATTTGTTGTGAAACGACGTCAAGCACGATCTATAAATGTGGCCCCGGCAACAGGTTGCCCATCCACGCACAATTCCTGCTGTTTGGCCCTCCGTCATGACAACGCTTGGAAAATGATGGCGCTTCATAAAAGCTAATACCTGAGAGTTCACCTGACAACTGTGTTACCCTTAAGACACTCGCTGCTTATATAATATAATGGGCAGGTAATGCATACCATTCATATTTCACTAACTAGCGAAATTGCAATGCAAAGGCAAATATAGACATATTTACGCATTTTAGCTTGTATATATATATATATATATATCTAAAGTTTAAGCAAAAAGGGTTGCCTATCGCAGGGCGTTGGATTTCCTGTGCTATTATAAAGACCTGAAACCAATGAAAAAGAATAAAAAAGT